CAGCATGCATACCTGCACCCTACCCTGCAGTGCAATAACTGCCTTTGTATTCCCTGAAATGATCTCTGTGGCCATGACAGCCGAGCACAGTTCCAAGGTTACTGTTTTCATGTCCTTTTCAATCCGTCTTTAAGTTTGCATGAGACAAAGGAACATCTCTCAATGCAGAGTGTGTATAAGTAGGAGAGAGACAGAGGTTTGGACTCTGAGTTTGCTTTAGTTCATTAACAAAATTGATCATTTTTCCTACATTGATCATTTTTCCTACTTCAGATATAATAAAATAAAAAAAAATAAAATGCTGCAGTGGAATTTTGCCATGGCTTTGCCCAGTGGAAGCCTTTGAAACCTCAGAACTCAGTAGCTGGCTTTAACAACAACAGCTGCAAGGGGAGAAGCACCAGAGCATCCAGCCTGGCCTTCTGCTTATCACACATCGCTAAATTGCCTTCCAGGGAGCCCAGAAGCTTAAGTTGGAATAATGCGTTGAAATCATCAGGGGGTTAAAACTCTGTGTTACTGACAAAACTCAGGAGAATATGAGGTGCTGTTAATGTGTACCTCCTTTCACAGCGGTATAGACTGGAATTAGGTGAGGTAGATAACGAATAGGGCAGGCAGAATCCCATCCCATTATCACCAGGCTTGGCAGTAATTTTTGTCCTCGTTCTCTGCACAGCATATAGGAACCAGGCGTTGTCACCCCACAGTATCTGCTGGCATAGTGAAATAGTGCTGGGAAAATTGTATAACACATGGTGACTTTACAGCTGTTTCTAGCATGTGCTGTCATCCACCCCTTTTTATGAAATGTGGAGATTCCTTCTGAAAGTAAGACTAAAATATATGCTGCACGTTGTAATTATGTCTCTTAAAAGATGCTCTGTTTTATTCCATGGTAAAGCATAGTTAAAAAAATAAGCAAGCCGGTGAGGTTCATTAGGGTAGAGTTAATTTTTATTATCTCATAAGCCATTGTATTTGTTTAAAATGATGGATTTGGTAAAGAGGTTACCTTTCTCTAGCACTGTTTGGGCAGTAATATTCTCTGATTTCAGCAGTTGATCTTTTTACATTGTCAACAGTAGTTTCTATGCGCTGCTTAATACCAACCATTTCTGAAAGATCAGAGAACATTTAGCACGATTAAACATGGTTCTTTCCCTTATTCTCTCTCTTCCCCTATTTTGTTTATTTTATTTACATTTTTCACCTTTCCTTTTCATCATTCGTTTCTCTGACTCTACTGATCCAAACATTTTTTTCTTTGTCCTTGTTTTTTTTTTTTTTCTGTCACAGGTTACCCAACTGAAGATCAACAACAATGCAGATGTAAAAAGGCTTCTAGGAAAACAGATACAGCTGCAAGAAGGTATCAGTAAGTAGTTTTTTTAACTACAAGTTCCAGTTGTATCAAACATCTGCTTCTCACTTCAGTGGAAACCACCCACCATTTTACTTTTCCACCAACAGTTCCATCTGTGGTGGTAGGAGCACTGTTAGGGATGAGAGACAGAGGCAGTTGAGAGTGTTTCAAGACCACAGTCAGCAAGAAGTCCGTAGGGCAGATTTGAGTTACAGCATGGTAAGAATGATGGTTCCTTTTTTGTGTTTGGGTTCCTTTTACTGATAAAACAGGCTAATTAGTAAATCAGTGAAGGACTGGTAGGTCACCAGGAGTGCTGAGACAACAGGATATTCCCCAGAAGTGTAAGAGTATTCTCAACACTTTCCTCTGAGATTTTTTAGGATTAGCTCTTCACCACCTAGAATTCATGTAATGGGAGCATCATGGAATGGCAGAAAGATTAAATACTGAGTAGTCCTGTCATAATTAGCCTTTGACAGGTATATGTGAAACGTATCTAAGGAGTTGTATATTAATGAGTCAGGACTAATTTTATTAGGCAGGCTTGTTGGAACTGCCATTGGAACTGCTGGAGACTGAGGTTAGAGCCATCTTTATGAATATGCCAATTATTTGTAGTAGCTAGGCAAAACAGTGTGGACTTAATCTCATGAAACAGTGACCAGATTCATCTTTTGAAGAGTATTTCTCTACCCCCTCAATGGCCTGACTTTCTGCAGCAGTTAGACTTGTATGGTCTCACTGCCTTTTTTCCCCCATAACTCTTTTAACCAGGTTGCAGCCCAGTTTGACAGAAGCGTAGCAGTCATGCAGAGGAGTTAGGTCCTACAGGTTTCTTGAAGATGCTGTGTCTGGGGGAATGGCTGCAATGTGAGTTACCATCATAGACAACAGAGGATCCAGACAGGAAAGCTCCTTTTTAAATGCCTCGGTCATGAGAAAATTATCAGTAAAAGCTCAGGATGGGCCACAAGGTGCACATTCTAGTGTATGCACAAGTGTGAATATTCCTTGCACCTTGTGATAATCTTTTCAAAAAAACAAACAAACAAACAAAAACTTCATGTTAGGAGGAAGAAACTGAGCAGCACCAACCAGTAAAGCGAGCTAGCAGTGAGGAGGAAAGCTCTGAGCTCCTTAGCGGTGAGTCCAAACCTGCACTGCAGGCATATTTAACTCTCACCAGATCTAACTCCGGCAGTAGCTCCCTGGAGAAGCTTGAACTAGTGACTACAGCATTAGGGGGTGGCAAAACCAGTAAGGCCATTATTGATAACCATCTAAAGCTCAGAAGGAATGTTTGCTCTCAAATATGATTTCATTTCCTCCTGCATATTCCCCAGCACTCTTCTTAACAGATCTTGGATATTTGGATATTTCGATTGAGTTTACATTATATTGTTGTTTGTACCTACGTTTGGCTGACAGGCACAGATTAGCTTGAAACGTGCCAGTCATTTAAAAACAGTTTTTCCATCACAAAAGCAAGGATTATGTTTTCAGGAATGGAACCTGTTATGTGTGCATTAGTGATTGCCAGGTTAGAGAGGAAAATAATTCTAAGTCATTTATTCGTAAGTAGATGAAATCGAGTATTTTCAGTATCATACAGTCATTACACACCTCCATTGTCCTCCCTCCAAGTGGAACTCGTCTAATTGTTCAGATAGCTCAAAGCCATGGGTTGTCCCTTGGTCTCTCAAGGAACTGCAAACAATGTATTTAAATCACTCAAGTGCCTGATGGTTTTAACAACTTAAAAGCATTTGTCTGCTATAGGAGGGCTAATTTTTAATTTATTTTTTTTAAAACACATCTATCCAAAATGATGCCAGGCTTTTATATTCACAGCAGGGAGCATTGTGAGGTTTAAATATCCCTTTAATCACTAAGGATGTAATAAAAACAAGAAGAGTTCTTTGAGCTGCAGAGTGTTACCCAGGGAAAAATCTACTCTGGAGCTTACAAATGTGAGTTGAAGAGACAAACTGGGCAATAAAATCCACAACTACGGACCAAACCGGCTAAAAGTTGGTCTGTAGCTGCCCATCAGGAGCTGAGATTTGGAGGGGGGGGGAAGGCCATTCGGCACCTCTAGAGCCATAAGAGCCAGGTCATAAATGTTTCACAATCTGCTGGGTAGGGGGAGGGAACTGGGGGTCTGTGATCCTGCCTGGAGTTTGTACCCTGGCCCTTGGCAGCAACAAAGACTGAGTATGAGGAATTTGGTAATACAAGAAGAATGGAGGAAAATTCTAGACAAGCTAGGGACTGCAGAAAAATGGCTAAGAGGAAGCTGTGTTCGATCATGTAAAGTAGCGTACATTCATGACAGCCTCATCCCCCTGCAGACTTGAGGAATCCATGAAATCTGACAGGTGCTTTTTTTTCTGTTATTGGTGATTTAGAAGGATTCTTACCTGAATCTGGCTATTGTGGACACCAGTATTGTGTTGCTACCAGGGGATGAGCAAGTTGGGTGAGAAAAAGTATGGTTTGGATTTTATCCAAGGACTTTCTGCTTAAAGTGGGTAGATATTTCCAGCTTTTTGTTACTGGCTTCAGACTTCCCTACAGATTACGTGTCCCATCATAATGCTCTATATCGGCTTTCAAAAACAGTTTTGCGGGATGTGCTGTGTGAATCTGTCTTGGTATTCACTTTGTTTTTATGGGAGATCCTATAAATAGCTCTGCAGGTTGGTTAGACATCCTGTGGGCTCAGTTCCCTTCTTCCTGTGAGGTGTGGGCAGAGTAGTGTGCAACCTGTGGCTATATAACTTGTTATTTTTTAAGAACTGATAAATAATAATGTAAAAGGAAAAAAATGCTGTCATAAATACCTTAGTAAAATGAAACACGATTTGTTGTAAAACGCTCTGAATCAAAATCTTCTACATACAGTTTAATTGTTCTGTTCTCCAATGCTTTCTGGTGCTGTTCAGTGTCTTTCTCAAAGTTCTCTACTCAGCTCTGTAGAGCTCACAAGTCTTTATTTTTAAATTCTAAAACCTTTAAATCTTCATTTTCATAAACTCTTTGAAGGCAGTCCCTTTGATAGGGAATTATGCTCTGTTTACTGACTTCATGTTGTGATTAGACCCTTGCTATGATACAAAGTGTATGGAAACTTTCTTAGGATTCTCACAGAATAAATCTGCCTTGGCAAACCAAAATGCCTTGCAAACTGACTCGCATCGTTCAGGTTGGGCTTTTTATCTGTTAATTTCTTGCCTTGATGAACACTTGCACACCAACAGAAGGAATCCTTTGCAGAAACCAAAGCAGTATTACAGTGTATCTGCGATCTCAAAAGCCCCTAAAGTTTAGATACAAGCTTCTAGGTTTGGCCTGCTGCTTTTTCCTGTAAAGATCAGCTTTTTAGCAGACTGCTGAAGCACTGTCAGCTGGCCTTCCATTCAGCACAATCCATTCTGCCCAGGATTTTTTCCTGATCTCAGTTCATGGTTAAATTGAACCGCCAGCAATTTTGAAGCTCTGCCTAATGCTTCTCTTTACGTTTTCCTGTGTATGCGTGTGTATCCGTACAAAAATATTTCTGCACGGGTGTTAACCCAGAGCTGTTCGCTGCCTGTTTTCTAAGGCTGATCCTTTATGCTTCCTTGCAGGGCCCCAGGTGTGCAGGGGCAGAGAGCATTCCCATTCCCCAGTGCAGGAGAGGACGGGCAGCACTATGCAGCATTGTGCTTTTGGCACTTTCCTCTGCTGTGTGACAAAGCTGGTCTTGCTGCTTCTGAGCTGTAAAGTCCTTCAAAAAGGTATCTTTTGTGGATTTGAGCGGGACAGAGTGCTGAGCCGCGTCTGGGAGACACAATGGGTTGACAGGAAAACAGTGCATCTAACATCAGGAGTCTGTGAAAACTTGAAAGAGCTCTAGACAGAAATATTTTGCATTTGACTCTGGACTGTAGCCTTTGAGGCCAAAATCAGCCTTCAGTGTTAAGTGGCTGTTAAGTATTTCCCTTCTTGTCTCAATGCTAACTAACTGCTGGGAGAAGTGGGTGCATATTCCAGGAGGGCTGGGGAGGGCGGATGTGATAAAGAGGAGACAGCAGAGCGTGTGCTTTTTAGTTCAGGAGCCACAGCTTTGTGGTCAGATACCTCAATCCACAAACCCGCGAGAGGAAAAGCCTCTGTTAAACTTCTAATGTACTACTTTTCATTTGCATGGGCAACTTTCACATGTTCCCTTCCCCAAAAGGCACTGCTAAATGCAGCCCTCCTCAGGGTGGGCGCAGGCATGTGGCCAGTCCCCGCAGCACACTGCGCCTCAGTCCAGGGACCCTCTTGTGAATTTAGCATCGAGCTGTTACCAACAGGCCCTCTCCAACCAACTGTTTTGTTTTACCAAATGTGATTTTGCTTGCTGAGAATGCCGGGAAGATTTTGGGGTAACACAATTTGGGACTCAGCACGGGGCTTTCAGCCCTACAAAGGGCTGCCTTTGGTGGGGCCTCTTGCGTGGGTTCCAGTGTGGGAATGGCTGAATGCAAATGCACGTGTAGCACACCTTGAAGGCAGACGACAGCTTTTACCAGGAAAAAAACATCCAACCCAGCTGCTTAAAGAAAAAAAAATAAAATTAAAAAAGTACCATTTCTCACCATAAAAAGAAAATACTGTACTATGGGAACTGCTGTAAGGAACCAGGAAGGCACTGTTCCTTATGCCTACCACAACAGGAAATTTTGATTAATACTTTACCAGAGCATCTTAAAATACTTTGCAGGCTTTTACTGTTCCTGTAGCCTCCCCATACAGAGACTGGCTTATAAACCTGCCTGACTTCAGGCTGCCCATGCTGCCAGAGGCAGACCTCTCTATCCTGATGGACCCTGTTCTGTTCACTTGGCCAGCTCAGTGTCTGGCTGAAGTTGCACTTATATCTCTTCTGTATGAGATATTGGTCACTAACAAGGACAGGGAGTCGCATACTTCAAGGCTAGCACAGCTGTAGGTACAACACTTTCATCATTTTTGTTTTCTCTGGAAAAATACTGCCTTTCCCCACTGCCCTGGGTGTGTGCAGTCAGGCCTCATTTGCTCTGCAGCAGGCTGAGCCTGTAGTTAAGGGACAGATTGGTGGGCTTTAAAGTTGACTGGAGAGTCTGAGGCTGCTTTATGTTTTTAATTAAGTATGAAAATATGTAACAGACATTTTTTTTTATTCTGGGTCCCGTTAACGACACACTGTCTTCCCATATTTTCAGTACTCATCCTGTGCAGATGGCAGAGTACCCTTTGCAAAGAGCTGCCAAGATGCTCTGAGACCGTGGCCTACATGCACCTGGTAGGAATCTGCTAAGTGAGTTGCATTTAAATGGCAGAAAGGCAATCTTCATGTTGTAGAGGGGAGTATTTCTTAAATGCATTTTACGCATCTCTGTGTTACTTTATTTGGCTTGACAAACTCAGGCAGACACCACTGTTTCACTTAAGCCCACCTTTATTAAAGCTGTTGTGATAATGCTTTCTCACAACAACATGCACAGAGGGAAGCCTGAAGGGGCTGTGTTGCTGTCTGCCATACCAGGGCATTAATACGGATCAGCAAGTGATCCAAGGCTGGCTCATTCCAAAGATCGTTATTACTAATCTGTTTTTTCTTGCATTTCAGCAGTCTTCTCCCTGAGAGTAACTTTAATGCCTTGTGCTTGAGCTTGTTCATAGGGCAGAACGGTGTCCTGGAAATGCTGCCTGGATGGAGGTGGTGCATCCTGTGCAGCCACTCGCAGACTCAGATCCTGATAGCCACAGTCTGCAGCTGACACACGCTGTTCTTATCTGTTCTGCGGTCTGAGAGCCCTCATCACCAGCCAGAGATGGTGAAGTGCTCACCCTGTCTCAAAGAGCTCTCAGTTCAGAAGGTAGGAGTGGGGGAGGGTGTGTGTGCTGGCCAGTTCCCTCCCGGGCCTGTTGAGTGTGAAGGGTTAAAGCTTCACGTGCAGGAGAAGTGCCAGAAAACATTTGCCCTACTACAAAACACAGAGGGGAATGTTTCTTTCTAATCACCTCCTCAAAGAGATGCAAAGCAAAAAGCTCTTGACTTCTGCTTTTGTCATCACAGGTCCCCTCCCTTCTGTGCTGCCCTAGCTCATCCCCTTCAGCGTAGCAGGAGAGCCTACTGTTAGAGCTAGGCAAAGCAGGATTTTTACCTGCTGCTTGTAAATGAGCTTGGAGCAGAGCTGTGTATGTCACTGGCTTACACATATCCACTCTCTCTCCCTTCCCTTTCCTCCCCCTATCCTTCGATTTGCCAGTGAATTGTTAGATACCAGCACATTCACCTCTGATTTCCCAGCAAACTGCCCAGGGCACTCTGTGGGCAAACAGACAGGAGGGTAATCTGCTACATCCCCCTTTGCTTGTGATGAATTTCATGGGGATTGCTCCTGTTAGCCACGCTTGCCAGGAATAGTAACAAATTCACTTTTTTTTTTTTTCACTTTTAAAACCTCTCCAGTGCAACTAGAGTGGCTGGGAGAAAGCTAGTTGTTAACTAGTCATGGGTAATTAATGACTCCACCTTCCCCATCAATCAGCTGGGAAAGCCAAAAGGATCTGAGTACTTGTAGCAAATGTGTGTTCTCTAGACATGCTGATCCGCAGTGTGCAAATGAAGTGGCAGCAGGAGACCATCTGATCCCCTTTCGTGGAAGAAGCAGTAAGTCATGATACACATCCCACGCTCTTGTCAGGTGAAGAGTCTGAAATTCCCAGCGCTGCTGCTGCTGTTGTGCAGATTCTAACTGTGTGGGATGTTGATCCATCTCACTGCTAGCTTCAATATGACCCAATTTTTGTTCCATTTTCCCTTTTCAGATTCTGATTATGGTCGTCTTTTCTGCTGTCTGCAGTTAAACTACTAGCATTACAAAAGCAGGACACAGGGAGCAGATTTGATGCTGCCTTCCCTTTTGTAGCAGAGCAGAAAAGCATTTCTGCATCCTGTTCAGTTTGTCTGGTAGTGGCTCTGCAAGTACAAGCAGAAGAGATTTGACCTTGATGCCATGTACAGCTGATCTTTTTCCTTCCAATGTATTTTTCTACACATGTAATAAATAATCTCCAGCTGAGCTACAAGTTGATGTTACCCCACTAGATGATAACTTCCTCCTCAGTGGTGCTGAGCCCCTAGTTCTGGATGTCCCCGAGTTAGCTGAAGCTTGTGGTCTGCTGCATTATCCCGTAGTTTTAAAGGGTTGTCAGGAAGGCTGGATGTGGTCCTTCAAAGTTGCCAGGAGCCAGTGGACCATCTCCTGCTATAAAATCCTCCTCAGGACTTATCAAACTCTCTAACCCCTTTCTTTTAAATGTTCTTCCTTGCCACAATAAACACTGGCCTTTCTTGCCCCCATCCCCCACAGTACCAGAATGCCTAAAATTCAAAGTAATAGTGAAAAAGAGATGGGCCCTCCTCTGATTAAATTCATTTGTCCTCTTCACATGTTGTTGCATTGCCCGCTCCAAAAGGCAGTAAAAGTAAAACTAAAAGTATGTTCTTCTGTAGGAACTGACTGTAAATAAATTCAGGAAGTTTTGCCTGTCAGACTAAAAATCCGTCCCAATAATGTGATTCACAAAAAAATCCTGTCCCAAAAATATCATTCACAAAATAAAAAGTGTTTGTTTTATTGGGAGGAAAACTAGACCATGAACCAGCTGCAGCCTTCCAGCAATGCTCTTTGAAATGAAGAACTCCTAAATTTGTTGTGCAGGATCCATCTCTGGCCCATCGAGACTGATGTCCTGCTTTTGACCTCCTCTTTTTGAACACCATCTCGGACCTGTAAATGTTAGTATAGCCGTTTCTGTCCACGAATGCGTAGAACTCCCTTCTTCACTGAGGTGTAGCCACTGGTTTGTGACCTGAAGCATGAGGCTTGATTGCTGTCTCTTAGCACTTGTAAGCACTTGTAAGTACAAAAGCTAATGGTCACACTTGCAGAATAAACTAATTAAGGGAAAACACTGAAGTCCTTCAGCTTGTGCACAGCCTTTCGTTCAATAAGAGCAGGCCTAAATAAAACCAGTGCCTGGTCCACGCCTGAGACTTTTAGATCACTTGCACTGGTGCTGGAAGGTGCCAGCTGAAGAAATTTGCTGCCAGGAAAACGATGTGCTAGCATAGCTGTGTCATTAAAGCAACTGCAGCTTTCAGTGATGAAGCTCAGCAGAAAAAGGTATCGTGCAGAGCAGCCTCAGCCATGAGCTTGAGAATATCTGATGCAGCGGTGAGGACCATGCCAAAAAAAAAAAAACAAAAAAAACACAACAAAACAAAACAAAAACAAAAATAAAAAATAAATAATAATAATAATAAAAAAAAAACAAAACAACAACAACAACAGGAAAATGAACTGTACAGTTAAAGTCTGTGAATGGAGAGGTTGGTTAGGTAGGTAACACTGTACCATCACCTGTATTTCTGTGAGTGGAAAAGACATGTAAACGTATATGTTACCTCAGTATCCCAGATTTGAGCTGGGATAAAACTCTCAAAACTCAAGTTTTCCACAGACTGTTAATCACTCACTTGGAGAATAAACAGCTCAATACAGTCCTGATTCTGATACCAGAAATCAACGGTAAAGTGAGTCTGTGCTTGGAGATGAAAATTATATCAAATCCTTGGAATGGCCTTAAAATGTTTAAGGTTTTATTTTGTAGATAAGTCTTTAACTAATGTTTTTGGTTTTGTCTCTATTTGTTTAAAAGTGCGTTAGCAGTAAATCAAGGTGCATTTCCCCTGTAGGGTTTCCTGTATGTCAAAGCCATGTTAATTCTCTTTGATTTTCTTCCCTTAGCCCCAGCCATTGCTGCAGATCCTTCCTCTCTTTGTCCCTTTGGACATCAAAGGATTGCAAGGGGACAGCCCTGGCGAGAAGCTCCTCCCTGCTCATTAGCCTCCATAAAACAAGAACTCACCTTGGCTAGCTGTGCTTGGAGTCCCATCCTCATCTCAGTCACTCTTGACACTGGATCTCAGATGGAACGGCTTTTGCTTGCTGCAGGAAATCAGACCTGCTTTTGAACTGGAATATTTGGGCTCCCTTTTTACGGACTCTGGTGGCTGAGCAACTTCCTAGACTCCACAGTACATGGAAAAATGCAAGTTTTATCAGGTAGGTAAAGGACTCCCTCCTATTCCTTACTGCGTGGAAAGATCCTAGAGATATGCCAAGAATGCACAATAATTTTAGAAAGCGAACAAACCATCCTGAAGGGATACCAGCATTTATAGTATGTGTGTGGCTAGAGATAATTTCTAAATTTTGTCATAGGAACGGTTGAACAATTGTGGTTTTGAATGTTCTTTGGGAGCTGTGGAAGATCTTTTGCAGAGGTAGCAGAGGTTCACTCACTCTTGTGCCCTAAACTCCCTTATCTGGGTCACCTTGTGCAATGTGATCATTCACTGAAGGATAAAGATGTTTTTTGCATATTGTCTGAAAGGTAGCACAATGAGTTCCTTCGGGTTTGAAGGCCATAGAAGGTATGGAAATATTTCGTATGTTGCTAATAGTTCAGATGCAAACCGTCTGTTTTGCCTGCCCCTGTCTTTTTTCTGCCCTTTGATAATATAAACTCCAAGCAGACATACCCCGAAACTTCTACCAGCATTTTATGCCCAAACACAGCGGTGTGTTTTTTTTTTTTTCTTTTCCACAGGGTTTTATTTATGGTTTTCTTCATCCGTCCTTCTCGCAGCAAGCTATTAACCTCTTTATTAACCTCTGTGCGGGGCATGATCAGTTGGGCACAATGGCAGATAATGCACTGGGAAACTAAGGACCAGTCCAGGGGCACTGAGTGTGTCAGTATAACCGAAACCCAGATTCAGTCCCATGTTTTCCTCTGTGCTGGAAGGAAACGAATGTTTGCCTAGTTTAGGTATGCGGTTCACCTACCCGTTAGAGGTGGCAGGGTATTCTCACCTTCTTTTCTCTATTGCTGTAATGTGTTGTTTCATAAGCAAAATACACGTACGACGACTTCCAACTTCGCCATTGTTTTGGGTTTTTTATAAAGCCATCCGTAGGGTGCTGATTGGATTCATACTGATTTCTGCCACATCAAGAGAACTTTAACTTAAGCAAAAGCGCAAAAATGAATATCACATGTTGCAGTATTTTGTTATGTTAAGGATTCCAGCTCTTTCAGAAGTCATCTGATTTTCTTATTGCGTTGTTTATGGTGTATGACCCTACACAACAGAAATATGACTGCATGCATTTGAGAGGTGAAGCCATTGCACTTGTAGAAACACAGTCCTTTCGTTAGCACCAAAAAAGCTTTTTGGCTCCAGGAAGTGAGGTTTCTTCCAGGTGTTCCTACTGGCATATATAAGGTCAGAAAACATGGGTTAAATTGATTATTGGCAAAAATAATTTATCAGATAACTTCTTGTACTGATGTGTGTTTCTTCCCCGTGGACGCTAGATAGCTGTTAGCATGAGACTTCACTGAGAATAAAACAGAAACAATGTAATGATAACCAGTTTTGATGAAGATAAGAAATGTACCTTTTACCTTGTTGGAGTTTCCCACTATTGCAAACCTTATACTATACTTTATGGGAAGTCTGCAACAGATTTTCTGACATCATGTAATTGTCTCAGTAGTGGACAATTAATTGAGGGACTGCTTTCGGTGAGTGAATTAATCTCCAGCATCTTCTATCCAAAGATTTTTGTTCCTTTCCCTCAAAGCATTACTGAATTCACTCTCATTTTCCTTTCTCTCCGTCTCCAAGATAGGAAAAAGATTAGTACAGCCTAATTTAGGCACAAACCAAAGCACAAACCGGTCTTGTTTGTATCAGGGCTTTAAAATCGAGCATGGAATAGAGTGAAGATCTCTTGATTTTCAGTGCTGGCCTTTATCACAGCAGCTCTACACCTTCATCTTGGCATATGTTTCAAAATCTGCCATGTGCGGTAATAATATGGTAACAGTAATGAATAGTTTTAAAGTAGCTTGGAACTAAAATTCTTGGAAGATGTTTAAGTTGCTTTCAAATAATCCTTAAAACCTAAGGTACGCAGAAGGGGAAACATCAGAAGTACAGACCTAACAAATCCAGCTCAGTGCTTGGCCGCCCTGCCACAAAGCTCTTTGTGGTGCAGTTCCAACATGTGGGCATCTTTGTGGGGAAGACGTGAACGTGAGCCTTGGCGTTAGTTGGATGGGCACAAACGAGGAGTGAATTTGCAAGGCAGCCTCTGGCTCTGCGAAGCACATCCGAAATAGATCCTGCAAGTGGATCCACCACTGCAGAATCCCCTCAAAGTTGATTGCACATGACTTTGCTGTCAGCAGTGAGGGTCTACCAGAAGGCTCAGGCATTACTGTGGTCCAGACCCACATGCAAACTGTAAAGATCCTGTTTCTCAGCCTCCGACTGGGCACACAAAAGCTGTGACAAGAAGGACATTAACAACATTTTAAAGTCTTTGCTGCGATGTTTATTGCATGCGCAGCTCTTTCTCCCCGTCACTCATACAGGTGTGTGGTGGGATCATTTTGGTAAAAACAGATGATAACGTCTGCCTTTGATTTTTAATTCAGTACTGAGCTCCTTTTACTTTCATTCTTTTTGATTTCTTTGTTGGAAGTCTCTCAGTAAGGACTCCTGAGATCTCCCTTGTTGTAGTCTCATTTAACGGCATTGGAATTTGCTTACAAAAATGTTAATTGTAAAATTCATTTGGGGAAAGGAGGGAGCATCTGTCGAGCTAATCAAAATCTGTTTGCATGTATTTGTGACTGGATGACTCCTGTGGGAAATCAGCCCAATTTTATTGTAACTCCTTTTGATACATGTGCTGCACTGAGCTACCCAATGCATCGTCTCGTGGCAGCTTTCATGTCTCTGCAAGAGGATATGAGGGAAGCTTTAGTAGGAAGATGTTAACAGGCTAATCTTGGTGAGCAAACTAGGTGTCACTTCTTAGCCAGTTCATTAATGTTGGATCAAAGCAGAAAAAAGGGTAAAGGGTTTGTTGTTGTTTTTTGTTTTGTTTTGTTTTGTTTTAAATGTCTAAAGACCTTTACAAACGGGCAGAATTATGTTTAAACGTTCCTTAATTCCTAATATAGTGGGAAGAAGCCCTTAGGCTTGCATCGAGTTGTTTTTGTGGCAATATGTCGCTTTGTGAAAGAAGCCGTTTTCCCTGGAAGTGGTTGCCTAATTTTCATGTTTATTCTTTTAAAGATATTACCCAGGAAAACTGTAACAAGGTGATAAAAACCGTTATTTCTGATGTACTCTGAATAAAATCCAATCTAGGCTAAGAGGCAGAAAAATCTCCCTTTTAAGCAAATAGCCATGGCTGGTAACACAACACCCAGCAAAGGCAGCCTGCCCTCCTTAAACTGAGGACGGTGCTGCCGCTGTGAGCACTCTCCGAGCCAAGCAGAGTTCCTGATACGTCCTTCATACACAGAGCAGCGTTAGCAAAGCCTTGCTGGCTTTGAAATCAATCCACCAGTAGCTACACCAGGCCACACTTTTGGACCTAAAGTCTTTTCTGCCTGAGCTCTTCAGTAGGGCGGCAGCAGCAGCGATCTTGTGTGTGTTACAGTAGCTTTGTGTGAAGAGCTCCTATGGAAGGTTGTTAATCCAAACGGCATTGCAGAGGAGGCAGGGACTGTCGGCACTGAAGTTCCTCCGGGGTAGTTTTCCCTTCCCCAGGAGCATGATTAGTCCTCTGCCTTCTGCTGCCATCACAGGCATCTTAGTGGTCTCCATCTCCAAGCCCAGTTCAGATCAGCCATCCTTTTTTTGGAATATTCCCTGGTCCAGGTCTGTCTCCTCCCTTTCTTGTCTCCTGTCTATCCCTCTGTAGTCCTCTGGAGTGATTTTTCACCTCTGCTACTGAATATTTGTTGTTTTCTTCCACTGCTACAGTTAAAATATTTCCAGTCCTCTTTCATTCTCTTGGTAAAGTGTTTTGTGCAACCCTGGTCACACCAGAACAGGAATAAAAGCAGATTGTGGCTACCTAGCAGTCAGAGCTGTGGAATAAAGGAAATCAAGTTCAATTTGTTCAACACACAGATCTTTACAAAAGGACTTATCCCCTAAAACCAAACCTGTCTAAGAAGCCTTTATTCCTTCTGAGTCTACTAAGTAACAAAGAAACCTTGAAAGGAAGATAATGGATTTTCTTTAAGAGGTTTATTGTGGTGCGGACTACCGAGCTCTTGGCAGCACCTGGGCCTTTCCTGGGTAAAATCCATAACATTCACCTGAGCTAGACCAGGGCTGTGCCCTGTGCACTGATGTGGGGATGAGAAGTCCTGGAGGCAGGTAGGAAGAGTGAATGACCAGATGTAGAGCCCATCTGTTACAATAGCACGTGAAATTTGGTAGCTGTGAGTACAGGCACTGGGAGGGCTGACTTGGGTGCTGCTTCTCAGAGCCCTGCCTCTGTGCAGGAGAGGCTGCTTCGTGCCAGCTCCCCTCCTGCCTGTCTGAAGTTACTGTTTTCTCTCCCTCCTAGACGTGAAAGCACCGTGTGATGCACTTCCTTCCCCCAGCCTGGAGCCCTACCCGCAGAGCTCCATCGTGGTCACCCTGGAGGACATGGGGCTCTGGATGAAGTTTCATCAGATAGGAACTGAGATGATCATCACCAAATCCGGCAGGTGAGGGGAGCAGGACAGCTGCCCAAACCACACCCTTCCAATCTGTTTGCAAAACTCCAGCACTCTTTTATTTATTTATTTATTTATTTATTTATTTATTTATTTATTTATTTATTTTTACATGATAGCTCTTAAACTGTTAGCCAGTTATGCGCATCTCCCTGCCTCTGGCAGAAGACTTGTGTTTTCAGGATGTCCTAGAGGTCCAAACTGTGAAGTGCAAAAGGTCACTGTGGGGCTGATGTGTTGTGAAATCTTCTCTGCTCTTATCTCAGTACTTAACACCGATGTTCTTCCTGTCACTGGGAGGTTGCTCTGGAAAGTGCCCTGAATTTATTTTGCCTCCGTTGTGGGCAGGAGCAGATGGGCAGTAAATATCTGGGTTTGATTCTGCAAGTGCAGATGAGAACGTGGCATAGAATGGTAATGATCAGTGTAAGCAGGCTACTCTAAAATTCAAATTTAAATCATGTATTGGGGAGCTTGCAATGAAGGAATATGAAATTGTAACGTATTGTGTCAGCTGCTGTGAGCTAAAGCAATCCCTTTGGGTAGGGAGGTAGGTGTTGAAGCTTTTTTGCGAAGTCAGAAGATAAAAGTGGTGGTAGAGAATACTGGAATGGAAAGCTAGATCTGTTCTCAGATGAGCACAACCCACACTAGAAAATCCTTTAATATGTGCTCCAGGTCCATGCTAGCTGCATAAAGCTAGGAACTACATGCAAATTCCAAGTGCTTTCTTTAAGTTTTCCACTGTTGCATTATAGGAGTCAGAAGAACAAAAGCAATAAGCATGTCAGGCCACCAGAGACTGCTGCCCTCTTAGTGCCTATTCCACCTAAACCCATAGGATTAGACAATCAATACATCAATAAGAGTAAAAACGTTCAGTAGCTGGCCTGTAGAAATACTGCTACCAGAACTTTGCACAGCAGTGAGTAAACGTGACCTGCTGCTTGAGTAAATCATGAAACAGTATCCACTTTATACAGAAATCCTTATGCTGTATATTTAATTTCTCCTTCAGACGCATGTTTCCACAATGCAAAATCAAAGTCTCTGGCTTAATCCCATATGCCAAGTACCTCATGCTGGTAGATTTTGTGCCAGTGGACAACTTCAGGTACAAGGTAAGTACTTTAAATGATAGACGTTATGCTTTCCTTCCATCGTTGTTTGAAACAGATTAATCTTTATGCTTCACTGTCCAGGCTGATAAATAAATTGTCTTGGACAAAGTTCAGAAGTAATTGGTGGATTTTACACCTCTCTGCAGTTATTTGTCACTTATGCTTGGGGAGCAGCTGGAAAGGTAACTAATCTTCATTGTAAGCCGTACTATTTTGATCGTGATTAATGTCAGACTTCTCTGACAACCACTGGGAGAAAGGGAGGAAAAATGAGGCCTAAACTTGGAGGTGTTTTGGTAACACGATCATGGCTCATGAGAGAAAATCTGCTACTTGTCAGGATTGCATGCCTCAGAGGAATCCACTAAATCATGCAGTGAAGCAAAGTTGCTGGGGCTCCTTATAACAAAAGTAGTTTTTTTAAGCTCTAGATTTCCATCTTTCCCTTCACAGTGGAATAAAGATCAGTGGGAAGTTGCTGGAAAAGCAGAGCCCCAGCTCCCTTGTCGCACCTACGTCCACCCAGATTCCCCAGCTCCTGGCAGCCACTGGATGAAAGAGCCTGTCTCCTTCCAAAAACTGAAGCTCACCAACAACACTCTGGATCAACATGGGCACGTAGGTTGCAGCTGGCCTTTGTGCCGTTCTCTCTTGGAATTAATTGCAGATAGATGTTGAAAGTGAAATGAGATGTGCGAGAAATTAGATTGTGGAAATTAAAAGATATCCAAGGGCCCTCTCTTCCTTCCTCAGCCCGGCCTTTCTGCTCTCTTAACTACCTGCTAAGGAAGGTTTTAGTCTCTGCTGTCTAGGTGAAGACACCAGCCCCAGGCAGGAACCTCTGTTTTGAAAGGGATGTCCCGAGAGTCTCCACAGAAGACTTTGCACAGTGCATTAGCAGTGGTTGCACATGGAAACCTTCTCCTTTTGTTTCTGTGCCAGATCATCCTCCACTCCATGCACCGTTACAAGCCTCGCTTCCACATTGTGCAGGCAGATGACCTCTTCAGTGTCCGCTGGAGCATCTTCCAAGTCTTCAGCTTCCCTGAGACTGTCTTCACTTCTGTTACTGCCTACCAGAACGAGCAGGTACAGTGTTCAAGTCTTCTGACACGTTGCTAAATATTCTGTCCTTAGAAATCATGTAGAGGAAGATGTCTCCTTCAGTGCTAGGTACCCTGCGTGCCTGTGATGGACAGGGGAAAGAAATCAGCATGTTATTGTTCTTGTAGAAAATGTCTACTCAGGGATTAGATGAATTGTACACACTAATTGTATTAAGTGCCCTGTCAGTGATCAACAGAATCCCAAATGCAGTAAAAAGTAGAGACAGAAGTCCAGATGTAGGTACTGGCCCTGTATATGTGTCTGGTCAGATCAATACCACTCAAATTCCCACTGATCCTGTGAAAGTCACTTCTCTCTATATCTCACTTCCTAATTAATAGAGGGAACTGCTGGGAGAGCTCAGATGCTGTGGCAAGGGCATCCCCCAAACACCTGCCCCTGCCCTTCTTCCCCCAAAACCTGTTGTGATAAATACTGAGGTGAAGGTCTTGAAATAATAATGAGCCCAACCAGTTACCACAATACTGAATCTTGGTCCTTTATTTTAAGATCACAAAGCTGAAGATTGACAACAATCCATTTGCTAAAGGTTTCCGGGAGCACGGGAAGAACACTCGGCGGTAAGCTGTTTTATCCATCTCGATTTATATACAACCAGAGTTTACTTGTGAATTCTACACAAGTCCACAGAGCAAAGTATACCAGCTAGTTCTGCAGAGCATTTTGCTCCGGACATTGCATTTATCCATATCTGGGAATGATGCTGCGTAGAAGCCGCCCAAGAGACTTGGGGAATGGGAGGAAATAGAGAATTTCCTACAGAAATGTGTGAAACGTGACAGATTTGATACCTACATTGTGTTGTAGTTTGGATCTAGATTGGAATCTGACATGGGAATAGTGGTGATAAAGGTAAAAGGACTCCACAGTAGATTGTTCTGTCCCTGTGAGATCAGCTTGCTTCTGACATTTGAGGGCTCTCACACCTCCTTTTCTCTTTTGTGGAAAAGTGTCTCTTCCAGCAGCAAGTTTTGTCTGCAAGAGGGAAGTCGAATGCCAGTACAAGTGAGGTCTCTCTGGTCTGAGCGCAGCCAGTGGATGAGAGTTTAAACAAATAAGTAATCTTGAATGCAACCCACAAACTGGTAATAGAGAGGGAAAAAATGGTTGGTTTGTTTGTTTGTTTTTCCCCAAGCAGAAAATAGTACGAAAATATCTGAGATTTAGTTTTATCTTATGCCTGAAAAAAAAAAATCCTGAAGAAAAAAGGCCCAACCTGACTCTTGTTACTTAACCTTCAAAACTGTCAGAGATGTTCTTTCTCCTCATAATAGGATCATTTCTGACTAAGCTTTCCATTTAGGAAAAAGGCTGCTTTTAAGCAAAACACCCACCCTACTATACGCATATCTAGTAGTATGTGTATCCAACACTGGGTACAGTTACTAACTCAGTGCAAAAACCTGCTGAGGTTTCCACTCTGATTTTGCCTTTTGTACAAGCATGAAGGGAGCAGCAACCCCTTTACTGATTTATCCCCAGTATCCTGTGGGGCAAGAGCTCTCCCTGGAAGCTGATGCTTGTGGCAGGCAGCACAACTCTGTAAATCAGCTGTGGCAAACATTCCCCATGGATCTGTCAAGTTGCTTTGTGAGCAGAATTGTAACATGCAGGACATCAGAGAGGTTCATCCTATCTTTTTGTCTTCCAGGCCTTTGTCCAGCATCCCTTGTGTTATTTATCTAGGTAGAAAGCTAACTGCAAACTACTCCATTGCACTGTTTCTTTCCCAGGGAAGGACGAGCCAAATCCCAGAAGCCCAGTCCAGCCAAGGGCCAGAAGAGGAAGCTGCCTGAGGAAAAGGAGTCTGGTGCTGAGGAACGTGGTAATCTTGATAACAACAAACCCAGAGTCAGTCCCGAATACTGCCTAAGCCACAGGAAGGAAACCAGGCAGTGACATTGCTCTGCTCTGTCTGTTGTCTGGGGAGAGTGGCCTGGGCAGGGCACCCAAAGGGTGTTGCGTACGGCTTTGCAAAGCTGGAAAGTGGAGTTAATTCCCTAATTCAGGGAGGACAGCCAGGAATAAGGAATGACCGAGGGGTAGCTTGAATGATTAGGGAGAAGTGTGAGACAGGACCAGCGCATCCCTGTTTGAAGAAGATTTTGCTCTATGCAGGTGAGAGGGAAGTAGTGCAGCCCCAATCCAACATGATGCTTCCAGCATGCAGAGAGTGCACCGCTTGCCCCTGCCCACAGCTGGCAGCCCTGGAGGGAAGCCCCAGCACAGAAGTTTGGCCAAACAGAGCAGGGAACTGGGATGGGGAGCCAGGGAACATGCACAGTGACACGGATTCAGCTGCTTAAAATTTCTGATGCTTGCTTATGTGTTTTAATCGTAATCTTTGAAGGGCACCCACTTTGCACCCACGACAGCAGCCAGGAAAGCAGCTCAGAGAGATGTCTTTCAGTAGAATGAGCCAACAAATGATGACTGATCATCCTTTGTGAGGCTTTTCCCTCTCAATTTCTGCCTGATATCCCCACACACACATTCAGTTTGTGTTAGGATGAGGAAGGGGTTAGGAAGTCTTCTGACTGTGTATGGTCCACAGGAGCCTGCTCACATGTCACTTGTCATTAGTGACTGCTCATCAGCTCTCCATGCACCAGCCTCCCAGCCATGCTTTGTGACCACATGTGATCAAAGGCTGCGCTTTCAAAACATTTTCTTTTCAACAGTGCTGCCAGCTTGCAGTGTCGCCCATGGCTTTCTTCTGCCCATCTGCCTTGGTTCTTGTGTGTGCAGTTGTGCCAGCACTGGCGCTTGTACAGCTGGGTCGTGATGCAGATGGGGGAACTGATACCATTTTAAAGTAACCTTTACTCTTTTTGTTAGGTTATTTTTAAGCTTGATCATTCGGTGTTCCAGTTCAGGGCACTACTTGCAGTGGCACAGCTAGGGAGAGGGGACAGGGAAGGACTGAATGCCACAGTGTAAGGACAGAAAACAGCAGCAAAGGGCTAGTTCCTTAAGGCTGTATGACTGCAGAAGAGGTAATAGTGCGTTTCCTTCCACCATCCTGCAATTAATTCCGCTGCTAATAAACCGTTGTGAGCCCTGGCTTTCTCTTCTCCTTTCTCATTTTTCCCCGTTCTTTCTTTCCCCACTGTGAGTCAGATTTTGAGAAAGATGAGAATGTGGATGTGAAGGAAGAGAGTAACCCCATCGCCGTCAGCAGTGGCTACCCCTTCTGGATCTCCGAGCAGAACGGCAGCCATGCCTTTACTGCAGCATCGCCAGCACCGACCGACCAGAGGGAGGGTCCAGCCAGAGAGCAGCAAGTGCCTACCCCATCCTACCAGACATACCGGTAAGTCCCATCTCTCGGTGCTCCAAAAGCCCAAAGGGGTGTCCAAGGGTGTCCAAAGCCACCCTTAAATTGATGAGAGTCCTCCTCTTCTACAGGGTGTTTCCTAAGAAAAACAGCCAGAGTGAGGAAGGATAACTTTCTTTTGCATGCCATACTTGGGTGATAGGTACTCGAGCAGCATGGAGCTATCCCTGTAGTAAAGCCTTTGTGTTACTTCTAGCCCACTGCTTCTGGGCATACTCATGTCTTAGTAATGCTCTTTATTTCCCTGTCCTGAAATGCTTTCCCAGCCAACTTCGTGTACCACAGAACTTGCCTGTCCTTTGGTGGCAGTGTGCTGGAGGAGTGGCAGGACTCCAGTGATGTTTCCCTCCTTACCATTACAAATTCAGACACGAGTGACAGTAAGCCCAGGCTAGAACTTAACCATAGCTAGGGCGGGCTGAGCTTACCTTCTCTGGCACTTAGCCTTTCTGTGTGGGTGACAGCAGGGCTTGGGCTAAAATCCATGTTAACAATAAGACAAAGCAGTAGGTGAGGCTGTATTTGTGTGGGAGTTAATGTGCAGTCAGCCAACACGTGGAGGTGCAGAGTGACTGAGCTGATGCTCCTCTGCCCCCTTCTGATACGCAATGTGTGTAAGTGCATTGGAGAACAGGATGGCTCACTTTGCTTTCATGCAAGTATCCTCACGTGGGAAATCATTGTGAAATAGCTGACGCATTGCACATTCCCACTCCGGGTCAAGGCTTCTGGAAGCAAGGCAAACGGAGGGAGTAAGAAACCTGTACAGAGCCAAATGGTCCTTGTAGACATGCTTGTTTTGAACAGACAGCGAATGTTTGAAACAGTGAGGAGAAGAGGGCATGCTAAGGGCTTGCCCTGCCTTTCCCTGGGGAATCTCTGTGGGTTTTCAGTGGTTTTCTGCTGCGGTAGGTTTGACTTGCTCTTCTCTCTGCCCTCGGGGCTCAGGTTCCATGAAGCTGGGGACAGCCAGCAGCTTCCCGCCCGCGACGTCGCCGCCTTGAATGACTTCCGAGCAAGGTGCCACCCCTTGGATCTTGCCACAGTGCCTGAGCACGACTCCAAACAGCTCCCAGAGGGCTTCACCAACCTGCCTCCGCTCCCCCCGCCTCTGCCCCCTCCCCAGGACTATACGGGAGTGGTGAACATGGCTCTGGACTCGGTGGGGAAACCTGGAGCCCGAGCGCCCATGTACAGTCCGTACGGCACCGAGCAAGGTCTTGGCCAGTGGATGGTGCCCTCCCACAGCCAGTACAGGGCAATGAGCTACTCGGCCTTCTCCACAGATTACAACGCACAGGGGGCTTCAGGACATGCCCACGGGACGATGGCAGAGTGGAGCCAGTACCCGCTGTTCCCCTATGCCTGCTGGTGAGCAGGGAAGAACCTTCCCCATGAAAAGACTAAAAGAAAATTGTAAATGAGGACAGATTTGCTCTGGGATGTTAACCTTGAAGCCTTGTCTACACTAGACAAGGAGGCATTGCCGCACACGGGAGCATGGGACACCTTCAATTCCTTGTCTCCTTGCACAACAACCCTCGTGGTATTTCACAAGCAGCAGCCGAACTGCTGGCTGCCACGCCTATGGCAGTGCACATCTGGCTGAATCAGGGTGTTCTGCATTGTTTGTTTCCAACAGGAGTAGCACACAAGCTGTAAGAGCAGTAGTTAAAGAGCTGCCAAACCCTGTCCCAGTCTGCATTTGCATCTTGCATGTGGCAGCTTCCAAAATCCAATCCTCCCAGGAAAATCAGTGCAAGGAGATAGGGGCTGAGGAGTTTCAGTTAGCCTTCCAGGTGGCCAAGAAGCTGTAGAAGATTTTTGCGAAGACAAGCAACAAACGCAATCCCAGTGACCCTTTGAGCAGTTCCCTCACTTAGTATAGTCAAACTGAAGCTAGAGTCTTGCCTTTTTTTTCCAGGAGCATGTGACAGTAAAATACGCAGTGAAACGTGTTTGCAGGTCATGCAGGCAGGGAAGAGTTTGTCCTCTGCAAGAGAATCAGCAGAAGGCTCTGTGTTGTGTCTGCATGTCCCTCATGCCCACCCCTCTTCTGTCACCCCTAGATTCGAGGTTAGTGAAATACTTTTCCTTCTGCTGGTGGTGGAGGGAGGTCGTTCACAGAATTTGGGGCTGCTCCGGGGGCCTCCGAAGGCCTGTGCCTGGCCCGAATAGGGCCCTCAGCAGTGGTGCTGGCCGTGTCACTCTGACCTCTTCCTTTCGAGGGAGAGGAAGTCTTTCGCTGTGAACTTCTTCCTTCCTCCACCCCCTGCCACCCCTGGGGAATTTAACTTATAGCTGTTGTGTGCTGTGCTATGAGAAAGCTTAGTCAGAAGACACTGCTGACCAGCCTGGCGCTGTGCTTCGCCCACATCCTTTAGCACAGTGAAAGCAGCGTAGGCAGGAGCTGTGTGCCACGCTGCTCTCTGCCCTGCTGGAGAGCTCGGCACAGTCCTCGTGCTGCTGCTCGGGTGCCTGTAGGGATCTGCTTCCATGTCCAGTCAGCTGTCAGCGCTTTCACCTTCCTTACCCCTGGTCCCCTCTCCTGGAGGAGCTGTTCTGTCTGTGAGCAGCCTGCGAGGTGCCTGGCACAGAGGATTTATTTTTGTCCTTGTGTTCGAAGGGGGAAGCGTCCCCGTTTGCCCAAGTGGGGTCTTGTTTGAGACAGGCTCTTTGCTTCTCAGAGAGGATAGGTGTGTTCCTTGTTGTTATTTAGGGAATGTTTTCTTGTAACACTTGCAATAAACTGCTTTGTGGTCTGTAGCCCTCAGTAGGCAGTGAGGTGTGTCCTTTAGTCCGTTTGCCAGCTGGCATCCTGTGTGTGTGTGTAGCAAGATGTTCTCTGAGCAGAGCAGGCCAGCGCTGTGCGTGTGCATAGTGTAGAGGTGTTAAACTGTGTTTATTATTGTTAAAATGACTTTGAAGAGTAGCCCTACGTATTTGTGAAACTCCACTCCAATGACTACTTCCTTATTTAAATAGCGTATTGCTAACCGGCCTCGCGCCACAATTACATGTACAGAGCAGCCAAATGCTTCCCCTCAGCCTCACAGGATGGGTGTGAGATGTGCAGCACACAAATAAAGGTCAGGCTTCACCACAGTGCATGTGATGATGTCGGCTCACTGCTCCTCCGGCAGCACCCTCGCCAGTATTGATCTGTGCCCGCTGTGCACCACACGCCTGCGAACGCGAGTGATTCACTGCGGAGAAAGCACTCGGGGAAGAAACGTGGAGGAGCTTGTTGGTAGCCCCAGAGCCGTGCTTTCTGCTGCCCACGGGCCAGCCGCGTGCAAAGGGCAGCTGTAAAAGCCTGTCCTCTTCGGGCGAGGAGAGGTCGTGTCTCTGAGTGTGGGTAGTTCACTTTGCCACCGCTGCTTTCTGAGTCTTGGAGATCAGGTGAGAAGCCTGGCCGAGGAGTTGGCTAGTTCCTAGGTCAGGTCCTTTATCCTAGAAGCTGGGCTGTAGTTTCCCTAGGGTGCTAATGAGGATGGAAACCGTGCTGTGGTGAGTACAATGAGCTGAAGAGACCCGGGCTATTTCCAAACCTTCGGAGCAGCTCTGGGGGTGCTGCTGCCCCACAGGGCCTGTTGGTAGGGCTGGCTTGGCAGGCGGCCGCCGCGCCCGGGTGGCAGACCTAGCTGTGTGCATAGGAGGAGCCAGTAATTACTCATCAGCCTTCTGCTGCAGCAGGACTCCCTGCCCTTCAGTGAATCATCCTGCTCGTTAGCGAGGTACCTTCACTTGCCTCCCGCCCGCCTCTGGTTAGAGACTGCAGCTCTGCTGCTCTGTGAAGCCTTGGAAAATGTTGCCCGTAGGTGTGTGCGCTCTGGACTCTGCTGCCGCCTCCTCCCTTTGCAGTTTCCACTCTGTTTTCTTCAGCTGTGGCATTTAAAATCTGTACGAGCTTGACTGAAGTCCTGTTTTTGCACACATGTGAGATAATGTAATGCCTCCCTGACAGCTTCAATAAAAGGAAATGAGACATGCGGAAGGCAGGCCATTAAGAGCAATAAAATAAACTCTGAAATGTGGTTTTTGTGCATCTCTTTCCAGCACGCCAGTGGCTCCGCTGTGGTCGTGTTACCTGGGGCCAGTTCCTACATGGCACACGCTGTTGATCTCAGTGCTCGGTGTTCTCTGCAGCTTATTCAGCGAGCCCCAGGTTATCTGCTTGCAGTGCTCGCTATGACTCAGTCTTGAGCTAATTCTTTGCAGCAAGTTGTTTATTTTCTCTGTTTTCTGCTCCTCTCCCGCAGCGGAGTTACATAAGGATGGGGACAAACGGACTCAAAGTGGGATCTAGGTACATTGCCTATGGGAAATGAAGACCCTGATTCATTTTGGTTTCTCCTACTGGTTTTGCAGCCACAAGCCCAGTCTGAGGCTGTTTCAATGCAAGTGGGAATGGCAGAAAAACACCACCTCGCTGCTCCCTGACCACAGACAGTGGCAGGGCCTGGGGGAAGCACCCGTGGTGCTGCTGCCGTGACCCCACGGGGCGCTCGCCTCTCCCCAGGCCCTCACAAGGCACTGCGGTTCCTCCCAGAGGCGCGGTCCCTTCTCGCCTGGCCCAGGATGTGGCCTCTGCAGGCTCAGCCACCCCCTGGCCCTACAGAAGCACCCCGCTGAGGGCAGTGGGGGTGGCGGTGGCGGGGGGAGCATCCTGCTGTGCCCTTCCTGCCTTATATCCTGGGTCACCTCCACGGGAGCCGAGCGAGCAGCAGCAGCCCCCTCCCAGGAATAACAACATCCTTCGAGTCAAATGGTTTTTTTATTGCAGGGCTTGAAAGCCACTTAAACCATGAGCCCCGCGTCGGGGTCCCACACGGAGCCTCTTAGCAGGGGGCACGCAGCATTTGGCTGACACCAGCAAACAGCAGCCGGCACCTGCTGGCCCCCGCTGCGTGGGGCCGTGCTGCTGAGCCCAACACCTCCTGCCTGGCTCTGGCAGGAGCCTCAGCAGCGCTGCCAGCCCCTCTGAGCCCCCTCCTCAGCCCCCAGGTGTGCAGGGCGCAGGTGTCTTCATCTACCTGCATCTCGCCCTGGGGAGTGAGGGGGCAGCGCTGAATTTAAACACCCAGGAGAAGGCAGAGAGGAGGATGAGGGATTTTCCTCGAAGCGTGGGGAGGGGATGATTTGCTGCACTTTTCCCCTCTGCCCTGGGTGGTGCGTGTGCCCCAAAGCCCCCCTGCGGGCTGCGTGGGCTCCGGCAGCGCTCAGAGGTAGGGTTTTGGTGTGGCGGTACAGGGGGTGCCTGGTCCTGCCTGTTTCTCCAGGGCTCAGTTCTCGGTTCCCCCAGCTGCGAGGTGCAGGCGTGCTCCTGGCCAGGCTCCCAGCCGCTCCCTCCAGGTAAGCTGGTTTTGCTGCTGTGCTTTGTAGAGGTGTAATGAGGTGGAAATGTGGTTTCTCGAGGTTGCAGCCAGCGAATCTGAGCAAAGAAACCCAGGCAGAGCTAACGCTGCTGCTCGCAGGCTCCCAGGGCAAAGCAAAGCAAACCAGGGAAGTGTTTCTCCTCTGCAGCCGGCAGTTCCCTGCGGCGTGCAGCGTGTGCTGAAGCACTGCTGAGAGCTGGGCCCAAGCAGCAGCTTTAGACCAAATTTTAAACAAGTGTGAAGGAATCCTTTAATGCAGCAGTAACGAGAGGCCCTGCGGCCACGACAAACAGCCGGTCGCTCTGTGCTGCTGGGCTTGATTTAGTGTTGTTCCTTTTTTGTGTTTCCAAGTCATGTGAGTTTGTTTTATGGCACGAAGTACTTTGCTGCAGGGTGCTGAATTGCCTCTGACACTTCTGTAATACTCCATTATTTTTGCTTTGAATGTGCAGGTGTACAGCTCCAGCATTCCTGCCCGGACAGTGCCCCGCTCAGGTGAGTGCAACGGGTGGATTCAGTTTCCATCCCCTGCAGTTCTTTGGGGGCATGCTGAGATTTTCTTCTTCCTCTCTGATTTTTACTGAAGAGGGAAAAATTTGGTGCCTCTGTAAAGGAGAGTCAGAGAGAGTAGCGTTCAGCCACACAGCTCGGCACAGAGCAGGGCTCACTTTTGGTTTCTTTCCCTCGTGTTGGAAAATGAGACCGTGCAGGAGAACTGCAGCAGCGCTTTGCAGGAGAAGCCTCCTGCCCCCTGGCACTGCTGCTCCTCCAGCTCTGATCCGGGGGCCTCGCAAAGCACCGGGAGCTCTGTTACACCCTCACCGGCCGTGCTGAGGGGAGAGCTGCGTGGAAATGCTGATACAGAGCAGAAGGGGGTGACCAGGCCTGATCTCTGTTATGCTGTGGGGTTCATCCCTGTGCAGGCTCTGTTCTCACTGGGCAGCCTCTGCGCTCCCACAGCCTGGTTTTAGCTCTAATTTACCACCTCCAAGGGGCTCTGTGGAGAGCGAGCTTGTCCAGAGCAGCTCAGCCCCCAGCCAGCACAAGGCACAGGGGTGATTTGAAAATTGTGGGTGAGAACAGCAGACCAGTACAGCCCATTTTTTAACCCATCTGCCCCTCCCGAGGAGACTCCTGATGCCGCGTGCTTTGTGCTGAGAGCAGCTCCGCACTGAGCAGTGTGAGGCTGCATCTGAACTGCTGGGGATGCTCACAAACGAGATCTGCGTTATGGTTAGAAAACAAACAAACAACAAAGCAGATGCAGGATAAATGATGTTATGTTGCTAAAAGAAATGAGCCAGACTGTCTTCCAGCCCTGCAGACGCTTTCTTTGCCCTCCCGAGGTGTGTGGGTAGAGGTACTGCCCCGCACAAGGGCAGCTGTCTCCTGCCACGCGTGGCCAGCTTGGCTGCTCTTTTGGGAAGGAAAGGAGGGCAGCCCCTGGCCCAAAGGCTGCCGGTCTCGCATGGAGCCTGGCCCCAAGTCTCTCATCCTTGGCTTCATCCTGCCCGTATGGCTGTTAATGGTCCTGCCCTGCCTCCATCCTCAGGGACTAATTGCCTCACACTTGAGCAAATGTGCTCGGTGTTTAAAAGGAGCCTATCGATCGGTGAGTGTTCCTGAAAGCCTCCCAGGGCCCCGTTTCCTTTGAAGTGTAAAAGCATCTGTCTGTCTGTCTGTCTCTCTGCTTTGCCAGCAGCCTCCTGCTCCGTTTTGCATCCCCAGCTACAGGGGTGCATCCCGGGGACCTGCCCCCGGCCCCACACCGTGCTCGGGGCTCCCTGCTGCAGGAAGATGGGGCTCGAAGACACAGGTACAAACCCCAATCCAGGTGGGGTGCTGAGCTCAGGACCAAGCTCCTTCTGAAGGCCGATTTCCAGTACCCCAAGCTTTGGGAATGCCCTTGCTATGCTCGGGGCAGAAGCTGATCGTGCATTCGTCTGCAGTGCTTAGAAAGGAGAAGAAATGGCCCCAGCATTTTCCCGTCGTGGTGCTCAGCTTCTCCTGCCAGCACCACTCAGAAAGGAAACAAGGTAAGGCCCGGGCTGCTTTGGGTGATGCCCCGTGCAGGAGCTGACATGCACAGGGCTGCCCAGCGTGGTTCTGACCTGTGCTGAGAAAAATCCTGTTAAAATGCAGCTGACTTCCCACCCTGTGCAGGCAGCTTGGCCTGTAATCCTTCCCAGTTCCCAGGCACTGGAACTGGCCCCGAACAGGCTGCTTGTCCCCACCGGGGCGTTTTAATTCAGGCACAACCTTACAGGAGTGACCGTGCTTCTGGAGCCAGTACCCAAAGCCGTGTTACTGTGCCCAGGGTGGAGGAGAGAGGCGACCACAGCGAAATCCAGGCCTGAATTCCAGGGGCTGTGAGTAGCCGTGGCCGCCCTGCACCTCCCAGATGGTGCCGTGGGTTTCCTATTTCAATGGGGCTTCGGCAGCACAGCGGTGGCACCTCACTGTTGGAGGCAGTAAATGGGCTCCCATCTGGTTTTAATGATCAGTAGCACTTTGGTGCTTGTTTATTCCCATGTTTTATGCTTCAGCAATAAAATACTGCTTTGGTTTGTTCAATCCATCTTGGTGCTGGATGGAGATGAGTTCACAGTCTCTGACAAAGAGGTCCCAGAGGTACGCAGGATGTTGCTTTTTTAGACAGCTGGGCAGGATCAGATGATATAGCGACAATTAGTTTGAGATACAAATGTCAGCAGGCAGCAGAGAAGGTAGGGAGGGCAGCTCACCATGTGCCTAGCAAAGAAATTGTATCCTTGGATTAAAGGAGGGGACTCAGCAGGGGCTTGGTTATGGAGCTGGGGCTGTGCTCGCTCCTTCCCGTCCCCCCAGGACAGCACCGAGCTCTGATCCGGGGCTGGGACGAACCCAAAAACCAGGCAGTGGAGAGCCCCTGTTAGCAGCCACGGTGCTGGTGAGCCACTCATCCCTCAGAAGGAGCAGGCGGTAACGCTCTGTGTGCCTGTGGCACTTCTTATCAGGGGATCTTGGGTCGTTTTTGCAAACACCAGGGATTTCAGCACAGCAAAATGCAGCTGTGTCCCACGGGGTGAGTAGGGACAGTCAGGAGAAGAGAGATTGCAGTTAAACCACAGAGGGGAGGAACAGGCTCTTTGCCTCCCTTCTGATGCTTATGCAGACCTGGAAGCCTTTTGCTTTCCCATCTCCCATTTGTCTTCTGCCCTGATGGCAGAGGAGCTTGGTCTCTCCCTTTTGCCAGGGCCTGGAGCTGTAGCAGGTAGCTAAAAAGCTTTCAGCAAACTAATTAAATCCCCCCCTGAGTTGCTCAGGGTCCGTCCCCTCGGTGCCACTGCTGGCGCGCTCGTGCTAATTTTCTCTGCAGGGTCTAATGGAGATTGAGCAAAGAAGGGAAGCCTCTTGGGCTGCTCCTACACATCAGGATGAAGCACAGCGGGCAGCCACCGCTCCCTTCGGTCATCGCTTTGCCCGGGGTGGTGCTGGGGCTGCTGCCAGGGGCAGGGCTGGGCTCCTGCTTTAGGTTTCAGGCCGGTGTGGGTCTGGAGTACGGCATTGAGATGTGTGAGTCCTGGCAATGCGTGAAGTTAAACCCATCCCTTAATCTCTGCACCCTGCCCTCTGCGGCGGGGCTCCCCCAGCACCACGTGTTGCCTCCCTGCAGCTTCCCAAGCACGGGGCTGTCAGCGTGGAGGGAGGTGACCTTTACAGAGCCGAGTGGTTTTACTGTAGCGAGGCTGAGGAGGGCTGCTTCGTGCTCACAGAGACGAGCCCAGCCTCTGCCTTTCAATCCCAGCTGAAGCAGGAGGCTGCCCCAGCGAACGTGTGCCCCCTGCCCAGAGCAGGGCTGTGGCTGCCCTGGCTCACCCCATGGCCTCGCAGCCCCTGAGCTGGGGCAAGGCTGTGCTGGGCTGTGCTGCAAAGCAGAAATCCTGATCCCCGAGGGGGAAAGGAGCGCCCCTTGGGTGCTCTTGGTGGGCCCTTGTGGGGCTCCAGGTGGTGGCACCAGTGCCGTGCCCTGGGAAGGCTCCTCCCGGTGCTCCCAGCCTGGAGGGGGCGGCTGGGGGGGAAATTCCTGGGAATGGGGACTGGGACAGCCTCTGAGCTGCGGAGCTCACTCCCAGTGTCCAGACCATAAAGCACTTCACAGAGCCCTTCCAATTGCCTGCCCTATTAGTTTTATGGTGGGGGGATATTGTGAGGGCGCAGTTGATCTCGTTTTACCACCGTAATGAGAATGGAGGCGCGGTGGGGAGAGCCAGCCTCGCCGGCGGGCAGCCTGTGCTCCGGGTGCTTGGGAAGGCTCTGTCACCTCCCTGCGGGCTGTCAGCCACCATGGGGCCTCCGTCCCCTGCTGCCACAGCTGCGGCCCAGCCCCTGGCTGCCCTGCGTGGGCACACTTTGGGCCAGGGCAATCACCCCATGGGCTCAGCTGTGGGCGCAGGCAGGTGGCTGCACAAGGCAGGGGCACAGTGCCACCCAGTGACTGCCAGGGGGCGGCTGGGCCAGGGCCTGGGCAGCACGAGCAGGGGTTGCTGCAGAAGATTTTTGGGGCCTGGGTGTCTCAGGGCAAGAGGGAGCACGGGGAAAGCCAAGCAGCCGCCGCGGTGCTTTGTAACCGGGGCGCGGAGCTCCCGCGCTGTGGCGACGTGTCTGCGGCGGGCGTTGGACGTGAGCGGTCTTGCTCAGATGCTGCCAGCGATGGGGCCCAGGGCAAGTCGGGGCTGAGGCAGCTCGCGTGCGGGAGGGACCCTGGCAGCAAGGCGAGTGAGAGGAGGAGGAGGAGGAGGAGGTGCTGCTCTCCACAGGGAAGGAGGTGTCTGCGCGTTGGAAAGCACAGGCAAGCTCCCAGGGCAGCGTGGCTTCAGCAGGCTGTCAGAGCTGAACCCAGCGAGCAGCTGGGTTCAACCCTGGGAGCAGCTCCCCCCGGCTCTGCTGGGTGCTTCGGGCAGCCCTGTGTGGGCAGGGGGTTGTGCTGGCAGCAGTGAGAGGGATGGAGGAGCCGTGTGGCTTTGCAAAGTGCCTCGTTCGATGGATCACCGGTGTCATCTGCCTGTTACAAATATCCCTGAAACTCTCCTTTCTCCAGCCAGCCCAGCTGGCCCCTCACCTCGCTGCTGGGCTGTGATCCTGGAGTGCTCTGGGGCCTCGCTGTCTTCCCAGGGCGCAGCACCCACCCACAGGGGGGATGCCGTGGCTGTGGCAGGCAGCTGGGACCTGGTCCCCAGCCCTCTCTGGGCCAAAGGAGCTCAGCCCTGGGGCTGGCTCTGCCCCAGCAGCTCTGTGCTGCCCCAGCCCACTCCATGCTCTCAACTTTGATTTCTTTTCTGTCCAGGAGGAGTGAGCAAGGCTGCGTGGAGCTGGAGAGCTGCTGAATGGCCTGGAGGGGCCCCAAACATCCACACTTCAGGCAGATGCACCTCTCGCACCCTGGGACTCCTCACCCCAGAGCAACCAGAGAAGGCGAGGAGGAGCAGCGCATGTGGAAGCTGTGCTGTGGCCGTTCCCTCACACACTGGAGACTTGGGCTTGGCAATTTGCTGGCTGAGGAGGGAGCTGCATCCACGCCTCCTGCACTCTGGGCAAGTACCCTGCCTGCTGAAACAGCCCCGAAAAAGGTGGCCCAGCACTGCTGCTGCCATCTGTCCCCTGGGGAAGGTCCCAGCTGCAGTGTAAAGTCTGCACTGGGAGAGCCAGAGAGCCCTGGCAGGACTTAGGGGAGAGCATGGTCAGTCCTGGAGGGTCCAGGCTACTGCAGGGGCTGCCTCAGAGCTGCTCAGCCTCCTCCAAAAGGTCCACCCTGCGGTTCAGGTGGCCCTGGCTTCAGCTGATAGCCACGTGTGGTGGCTTTCTGATCTACACCCAAGGTCAATGCAGGGCCTTTCTTCCTTTCTGCCCAAACCCTGCCTACATTCCTTGCTGGGTCGAGCCCTGTGTCAGGTTCCCAGGCTAGCAAGCATCAACAGGCAGCTTTAATGGTGGGGGAAAGGGAAAGCAGCCAGGTACAGTGGGGTGCGGTGTCAGCAGCTCCCCAAGTGGCTCCCTGTGCTGTAAATCGTTGCCCCAGCAATGCCCTGACATGTTTGCAGCAGGGACTGTCTCTTGGAGGAGACACAGGCTATGGCTCTATTTTGGGTGATGACTACAGAGCTCAGAGTGTTTGGCAGCAGGGAGGGGCGTTTAATCCGCCTGTCCTCCTCCAGGTACATCATCTCCTTCCTCCACTCCCCTTCATTTTCCAAAGCTGTTTCAGTGCCACGCTGCCTTAGGGCTGCAGGACTGCAACGTGTGGCTGAAACCAGGCCACCGCAGCGAGGGAGGCACGAGTCCCGCACATTTGATGGATGGAAGTCCTACATCCTCACTGCCCTGTCAAGGACTGTGCAAGCTTTCTGTTCCTAGGCTAACATCTCTTTATTTTTATCTATTTAAATTTAGGCCAGCGTTGATAACACAATTGCCATGGTGGAGGTCTGTGGGCTACCACTGCTGTACAGCACAAACCCCTGCTCGGAGCCCAGCGTGCTGTCCCACCGGTCAGAGAGCTATTTCCATCCCATCAGCTACCTCTGCCTCGATCAAATGATGCCAAGTGCCTGTTCTGATGCAGGTGGGTTACTCAGCTCCGTACAGGCAGGAGCTGCTACTGAGTACTGGAAGAAACCCTTACACTGCTACTGGGGACATCCTGTGGTTTGGGATGATTTCAACCAGAAGTTTCTGACAGTGCCAATACGCTGTGTGTGCTGCTCAGCCTGGTGTTACCCTGTTCAGCTTAATTCCAGACCTGAGCCGATTTGAGCCTTTCAGTGGCCAACCCCCCAGGCTGAGGTGTCCCATGTCCAGGTGTTATTTCATGCAGGGAAATTCTCTTTTTAATGTTGGAGCTGGTTCTCCAAAGTGCTGAGTACTCACAGCTATTGCAGGTAGTCGGGGCAGCGGGAGGTATTCTTTCTTTGAAGGATGTGGCTCTTCCTGCCCTTAAGAAGGCCTGGTGAGATGAATGACACTGCCTCTGTGCCATGCCCGGCAGGAAGCCAGCCCCGTGTGCTGTGTGTGTACCCATCAGCACTGCCAACAAGGAGCCAGTTCCCACTGTTCGTCAGCTGCCTCACCTGGGAAGAGAAAAGCTGTTCCTCTGCAAGGTCAGTCGATTAACGATAACACTGGTCACAAGATCAGGGCAAAAAAGAGAAAATCCAACATTTCAGAAATAGATTCAGCAAATAAAAGTCCCAGTGAGAGTCTCCTGCCTTGAACTACCTCCTAATTTAGATCAAATCAGTACAGTAACATAAAGTATAGTAAAAAAAAACAAGCTCTGGGGCTGGAGTCTAGGCACACAAAGGCTTGTAAATGATCAGGGGTGCTTCACCATAATGAGTTACGGGTAAATTTGTATTGTTTTGTTTTTTTAATGACAAGTTAGGGACAGTGGCAGTGTACTCTAGGACCTGGCTGGGATTTTCACTTCTCGTCAGGAGCACGCCGGGGGTCTCATGGCCTGGCTTGGCTGCTGCAGGGCAGTGGGCAGAAGGAATAAGAGGAGTGCCAAGAGTTTCCAACCAGCCCCTGATGTTCACTTCTGTCAGTCCCTTCTGTCTTTTCCAAGTAGTGCCCCTGCCTCTGACTCATGGCTCCCCGAGCCAGCCCCATCTCTGATGCTAGGGCAGGCACCAGGGGCAGGCAAAGCAGACCCCAACCAGCACCCACTGCTCCCTCATCTGAGCAAGAGCCCTTCCTGCCCCAGGGCCTGAAGGGGATTCCTTAGAGAGCCAGACTGGGAAACAGAGCACACGAGAGGGCTGACAGTCACTGAGATCCATGCTTCCTCCTGTGTTTTAGTGCTTAAGTTCTAGAGCAAATGCAGGATTAGAAGTGATGGATTTTTCAGCGCTGACTTTGAGCTGCCCTTGTTGGACCAGCCAGGACGAACAAAGCAGGAGCTGGGTCCCTGCGGATAGCCTGCATTTAGCCCTGCTCCCGATTGTCTGGCGTGCCAGCGGCAGGCTAGACTAATAACTTGTGCCGGGAGGGCTCTGGTTACAAAATGCCCGGAATGAAGCAAGCAGGTGCTGGGAAGGTTATCTGAGGAGAGCGCCGCGGTAAGTCCCTGCTGCCTCTCGCTCACCCCAGCCTGCTTCAGGAACAGCGCGGGCGGCACCTTCTGCAGGTGAGGCTGCGTCCAGCGCCAGGAGCCGCTGGGTTCCTGGTGAGCAGTCACAACACCGCTGAGCAGCAGCAGGAGCTCAGCTGCCGGTTCCTGCAGGTGGTGCCCATCTGGGGACCCCACGAAGCAGAACTGGGCCTGAGTCACAGCACCGGGGTCCCCAGCTGCTGCTGCGGAGGGTGGTCCAGCTGGAGCAGCGCGGTGCTGACCAGATTCAGGCCGGGCACGCAATGGTCCCGTTAACAAGTCACACTAATTGATGCAACTTCTGCTTGCAGGCAAGCTCGTAGGGCTCAAATTTCGGAGCAGGAGGCTCACTCTGGGACAGCTGTGATGGTTTCTTTCCCTGCTTCCTTCCTGACCCTCATGGACTCACAGTCCTGCTGCAGGAGGGCTCAGCTGTTTGCACAGTGACCGTCACCGTTTGCAGCTCGCGGTATTAAGGTAACCTGAAATTGGAACTGCTTTACCTTAATACACTGAGCTGTGGCTTGTGGTCCAACAGCTGCTACAAGAGCAGCTGATACGCTCCCTAAAAAAAGGGGCAGAGGACAGGGGGCAGAAACCACTACAGCTGCTCGAAGGTGAGCCATCCCTGTTGGCAGAGACCCGAAAAGCTTTCCTGCGTGCACATCACACTGGTTAAACCATGTAAAAAAAGTTACAAGGAAACTTGTTCACGTGTTGTGACAGCATTTTATTTTAGTATATTTAGGCATACTTGCTACTCATGTAAGCTCAAGCAGGCATAGAGCTGGTTGAAACTAAAGGGGTGTTTTCTATTGTACTGGTTTAGAAAGAAAACCTTTTATTTAAATGAAGGTGACAAACCAGCTCCTTCCACCTCGCTTGCACCTGGGCTTATGCTGCCTGCTGTTTGGCCTGACCTAGCCAAACTCGCTTCAATTTAAATAAGTGAAGGTCTGCGCGCAGGTAAGCCACAACTAAACTCAGTTTGAGTCGTTGCTCATTTCTTGTTACCTTTGATGTTCCGCTGAGTAACCCTGGCTGTTCCTGGAGCTGGAGGCAGCTGCAGCGTGGGTGCTCCTGGTACAAACCCTGAGCCCTGAGCGCAGGCAGCGAGAGCTGTGGGCCCCACCCAGGGTCAGCCTGGTGGCAGGAAGGGAAGGCAGAGGGAGCTGGGGGCAAGCTGATGCTGCTGGCACTTGGGGCGAGGGCTGCCAGGAACCAGGCTGCCTTTTAAAATGCAGACAAATGGCAGTCCCTTGCACCCTTGTTGCTGCAGCTCACTCAGACTGTGTAATGTGTCCCTTCTGGTAACATTGCCAAAGTAAAGCAACCCCCTCCCACCTCAAGTGGTAGGAAGAGCTCATTTATTTCTAAGCACACGACAAAACAAGGCCATGCAGAGTTCTGTGGCCTCTTACCCCTATGTAGTGCAGATTTATACCAACCTGATGCATTTTGAGACAAATGCAAAGTTCTGTTCAGAACACAGGTATTATTAAACTCCCCAAGCCTTCTGGCTCTGAAAGCACTTCATCTCCCACTGCCCGATAATAGCGTGTGGACACCTCAGGTTAGTGTCAGAGAAACCCAATTTTACTGAAACAAAAACCAGGGCAGGCCCTGTCTGGGCTGGTTGGTGCAGGCAGCCCGCCCCTTCCTCAGAGGATGGGCAGCAACTGCCTCTGAGTGCGTTGCACACCTCTTACCGTAGCCAGGAGCAGTGCTGGTTCTGCACATGCGGTCAGAGTTCGGGCTGTAGGAAGCAATCTGCTGGTAAAGCAGGGGCCTTGGTTTTGCTACATAAATAGTGAAGCAACATAAATAGTGAGGCAATGATGTCCTGAGAAGCAGCTGCAGTAAGCAGCTCAGCACTTTCAGTTTTTGCTAGAAAGGTACACAGAATAATTTGAAGCAGTTCTCAGGCTGCCTGTATGCACTGTCCTTGTTCTTGCTTGAGTATTTGAGATTTTTTTTTTTTCTGAAGAAAGGTAACTTGCCAAATATGAGTATTTGCTACTACACTATACAGAGTTGGCTATAACATTTATTAAAACACTGTAGAAATCTGTACTGCAGAGAACACACCCACTAGCCTTCATTGCAGTGAGCACATACCCACGAAGAGGCCAGGGAAACAATGCAAGCTTTTAAGACTTCTCCCTTACAGCATTTACGTGTTTGAAGTTCTGCTTTTTTTTTAATCTCATGTAAGCTCACTTCAAGTTTCAACACATTGTGAATGATTTACCTGAATGATCTCAAATATTAAAAAGAAGTTACTGTAATCTCTATTTTTGATCTGGATTGACTGTAAAAAGGCAAAAAGCTGACCTCCTGTTCTTGATTTACAAAAGCAGGGCTCTGTAACACCTTATGGTGACAGCTTCAACAGGGGCTAGAAGGCTTCACTTGTCCCTACCTGCACCCGTCAGGCCTTAGTTACTAAAAAATAAGCTAAATTCAAAACAAATGCCTAAATTGTTCTTACAGGCACAGTCAAGATAATTATCACAGTGAAAGAAGGTCATAGTTTCCACACAGACTTTTAAAAGCCTCTACAAAAGAAGAGTTAAATGTAGTGACAGGAAGAGCGCTGGTGTCAGGTGCGAGGGGGAAGGAAACAGCGATAATCGGCGTTACCGGAGCTGCATCTTTCAGTTGAGCCTGCAGAGCACAGCAGAACAGCTGGAGAACATGCACAAGGATGGAGCATGACAGTGTCATTCACTCAGCATCAGTATTTTCTCCTGCTTACCTGTTGCTTTGACTCAGGAAAACTTCAACTGGCACAGATTTACCCACGGAACAGGCCATGATACTGACACAGTAAGGACCTAAATACTCTGCCACTATCACCATGGGTTTAAGACTAAAGACAACAAGTGATACTGTAAGTTGAGGCAAGTTTTATTTAGACTGTACAAACAGGGCACTGGAAAAAAAAACAGTGGCTTGATGTTGGGACCAGTTCTATGAAATAAGTGGAGTAAGAAATTAAAAGGCACTAATCTTAAGAAAAGACACTCCATATATTCTAAGAATATAATTCATTTAATACTGTTAATTTTATAGCACAAAAAATAAAACAAGCTATGATCCCCAAAATAAATTTTAAAAGCTTACACTTTAATATTATTGCCTGAAGTTCATGGTCTTTAAATTACATATTGTGTTTTAAAGTTTACACAGTGAAGACTGTCTCGAATACAAGGCCACCTTTCCCACTGCAATAATTGTATCCTTGTCTCAAAAAACATTTTCATTTAACAGAACAGAAAATGACAGCTATACAAGAATGCTTTCACTGGTCCCAAAAGGCAGTCTTTTAGGCAGGTCTCACTTTCAAATGCAGGTATTGAGAAATATGCTTGAAAACTTGACTAGAAAACAAAAGGCAGCCCACTCGTTCCCAGGATGTTAATATAATATTAAAAAATTACTTTACAGGCACATGAAATGGCACAAAGAATGCTGTATTTCCCTTTACAAAAATAATGCTCAGGCTCTTCAGAGCCCCAGCCCAGACAGGATATTCCCTTTTGTTTATTCTTCCCAATTTGTAAACAATCATGAATTAAATTAGCGCTTATCCAGTGATGGACACTGATTAAAACAGTTTTCGTTTAAACTTTCAGACTGGTCAGAGGCTTCAATGTCTATATACACACATACACAACAGGAGGGAGTCAAACAGTAAGCCTTTCATGATAGTTAACTAGTGTGGCACCTGGTGATTAAACCGGCTGCTAGTTCAAAAGCATGAACGATTTTAATGGTGCATAGATCGAAGCCGTCACTTGCAGACTCTCATGCTTCATAGTACGAATACCTGACGCCCCCCGGGAACATCTACATGGATAGGTTAGCACTCGAATTCAGGAGGCTTCATAAAGCAACAGACAGCACACATGTAAGCAAGCAACAAGCGATTGAGAATCAAAAGAGTCCTTCAAAGAAAAACACCAAATGATCAAATGCAGTCTTTATATGAAAATATTCGTCTTATAGTAAAATGGCAAAGACACTTTGAAGCGAGTTTACAATCAGCTTAGGCTGGTCAGTATGCTACATTTAAACCGCATTGAACATCACCGATCTATACCGCTGCTACTGTGAGAAATACTGTTCGTCTGGGGCCCAAAACCAGGTTCACAGAAATGTATGAACTCTCATCTTTGCATCAGATGCCACCGCAAACAAATTTTGCATAGTTTTGAAGGAAAACAGTTTGCTTTTCTGCAGTATCAGAACATAATTGAACCTAAAACAATGCTTGTGTTCAAAATGTATACCTTATTCAATGAGGAGATGAGTCAAGACACTTATTTTAGTGACAAAATCCAGGTTAAAAGTTGTATTCAAGATCTCAAATCTCACAGTATTTATTCATGGACTTCAACATGCAAAAGAAGAATTCTACAACCAGTTTTCTGAAGAGCTACCTGCAGCTAGGTCAGGTCTGAAATAAGCTTTCTCTGCAGCAGACTGAGTTTAGTGCAGTTTCTGTATTCACATGATGACTCTCAGTAGTACAATCTATGTAGTAAACTTCAGGTGGAGTTGGGGCACAGAAGAATCACAACCTCCTCTAGTTAAGAGAGCTGCATAGCTTTTCTTTGCAAGACAACCTGTCAGCGCCTATTGTCCAGAAATTCTTTCAGCACCAAACACTTCAGTCAATGCTACGCTACTTCACAGTTAATTTGGTAGTAAAATGCTCTACAAGAACTTCTAGACTGTCAGCCACTTGATTAATACTACAGAAAATAACTAACAGATGAACCGAGTTTCTTAAAAAGAAAACAACCACAGCATTTTACATCTCTTGTTGTAAATGCCATTTTCGCATTTCTTCAGTGCCTTCCATTTAAGGGTCTCACAGCACCTTCACAGGAGTGAGAATAACGTTCTTTTACTAGGAAAAAGTGACACAAATCAACAAGAAAACATGCTGGAACTTAAGATGACAACTTCCATATAATTTAACACTTGTAAGAAGTGGTACAGTTCTGCAGGTGTCTGAAGTTTCTCATTTTGCTACAACTGACAGCCTTCACAAGTTGAAAAATGAATGTATTGTAGCACTGCTGTTTTCCTGTCAGATATTCCTGGCTTTCTGCAGCAGACACTTTTCTTTATGCAGGCTGTCTGAAAAGGGAGGTTTCATAGTTACAGTCTTTGCAGACATGTTACTCTGTTAATTTGGCGTTTTTTTAAAAAGAGCATTCCAGTTCACCTAGAAAACACATTTAAAGAGGAAGGTAGAAGACAGCACTGTACCTAAGCTTTCATATCCTGTAAATGGGCTAAGGACTTACCCTGCATGGCATTAATTATACTTACATAGCTACAGCCACGTAGATCCCTACTTTAGGTACAACAGTACAGCTTATGTACAGAAAAGGGGAAAAAACTATACTGATAAAAGACACTTTGTGGCCTCCTCCAGCCTGAGCATTCACTTATCTGACAGGGAACCCAGGCAGCTGACTCCAATTCACCATTTTCTGGAGGGTGCTGGGAGTGGGAGGGATCTGGGGCATATATAAGCCAGAGCCAACTCATTTGGAGGGGGTAAAAATTGTAGCATGCAGGGAACTGTGATACAAGGGAGTGATGGGGAGGAAAAAAAAAGGCCCAAAATGAAGAAGAATGCAGTTCTGGAAGAGAAGCACAGCAACGCAGAGACACCCTGGAAAAAAGGTACTGTGTTTAAGGAGTCTTAAGCGAGGTGGGGCTGGCTTAGCTAGGGAACTCTGGAGTGATAAGGGAACCTGCAGAGAAAGGGGTATAAAAGGTTTATGCTTAAATAAGTGGATTCCATCAGTATTTACCAGGTTCTTCTGTCCTGGTCCTTTTGTACTTCTCCGCACTATGTTGAACTGACTCTTCTGTCTACCAAGTAACAGCTTGGTGACAAGCACTGCTGTGGCAGTAAACCAGACTTCCAGCATAGCAGAGGAGCTGTACATAGACCAGGCCAAAGTGTTTCCCTTTAAAGCTCACTTACTATAGTTAGTGCTTGCAAAATCAACAGAAATGCGTTAAGTATGTCAAAAATGAGTTACGAGTATTAACCCCTCCTAAATTTCCTTATAAATAAATGCCTCAGCTTCAATGCAGCTCAATCAATGGTTATCTGTATTTAACACACACTGTTTCAAGAAGGTCAACAACAAGCTCAAAAGTTAACAGAAACGAGCAGTTACTAATACAACTGCTTAGAATACATAGCTTCAATTATTGTCCTTTAAAGAGACCATCATCGTAAATGTACTACCTTAGGACAGGTTCACTTAAAACTAAGTCTTCTTCAGTCCTAAAATTGCATTTTTGTTGTTGCTTTTTGTTGGACAGTAACACGAGTTGCATGTTTGATCTAAGGTTAGGGCTCTTCCTACTAAGCAGGCCAGAACAAGCCCGTGGAAGTCTTAAGAAAGGTTTTCCTCCCATACTTGTCTGCCACACACCTTGCGGTTCAGTCTTCTCCAGCTTATGGCCCAATACAGTTTTAAAAGTGAAACCAAATTCTGGTTGATGCAACTACGGCATGAAGGTCAGGCAGTGACTTCGGTTGTATGTATTCCAAATGTATATTAAAAGAACTGTCAAACTGCAGCAAGCTGGAAAATGGGCAATGCTAGCAATGTGCCATTTAGTCATTCCACCTCAAACAATGCTAATGATAGCCAGGAAAATGAAGCAGCAGTGTAAGTTGGGTAAAGGGAATCATTCATTCTCATCTGGGTTTTGAGGGTCAAATATTTTGACATGCGTGAAGGGGAAAAGCCCTTTCCGACCGTTGACTTCTCCTTCCCACTGACCGTTTATATTCATCCTTGTAACCTTCACAATATCTCCGACCTGCAGAATTAAAAAAAAATAAGAATATCACACATAAGAATCTTACCTCAGATACAAATCTCATGAAGAACAACAAATACAATCCCATCACATAAAAGAAAATTGCTATAAGCTTCAAAGGGAAAGAAAAGTTAGTTTTACTCAACTAAAACACAGACACCATTCCTAAACATGATGTCTGCATTTGCTTTGAAAACTTTAACTAATGGGATACTTACGTATTTCAATAAATTACTGAACCACGCCTTTTCCTGTAGGAAAGCTTACTTCATGCAGCCATATATTTAGCTTAGATGTAAACTGACATCACTAAAGCTACCATAAATAATGAGATGCAAACCCCATTCAAAATAGCACAGCCCTCCCTGGGTTTAGCATTAACATGCTTATTTCAAAGAAAACTTAGCTTTTCAAAGAACAATTCCTGTGACAGAGAAACCACTACGTGAAGTTCTACTTCTGACTACCACAGCCTAAGAAACTTGTGTAGCTCTCTAAAACAATGATACACTTCTCAGATGTTTTTTTAATAAGCATTAGATATGCAGATAGTTGCTTTATCTGGTGCTTTCACCTTCACTTCCCATCAAAGAATTTGGAACAGGAACAACAACATGTCAGGCCTTTCCTATCATAACTGTCTCTTCTATTTGGTGGTGAAAGAAGAGAAAAGCTATGATAAAGAAAAAAAAAATCCGCCCAAATTATACTTTATCACTGTTCAGTGTCTGTATTTAACCTGAATTAGGATAATTTACAAAGCAAAACACTCAACATGACAACCAGCCTTTGAGACTGACTAAACTCATTTCTCCCTCAAACACTTCAGAATAGCTGAAGCCGTGGCCTGTTGCAGCAGCTCTTGAACTACACCTCCCTTCCTGTTTACTTAATTGCATCTATGTGGTAACTATAGTAAATATTAGAAAAGTGACATTAGCAGCTCATAACTAACTTCACAAAAAAGGTAGAACCTGCCTATGACTAACGGCCAGCAGTTCATAAGCTTCCTCCCCAAAAGAGGTCCAAGCAATTTGTAGCTGGGTTTCAGATTACCAAACTACTTCTGCAAAATCCAAAGGAAATTAGCCTTGCTTGGTCTTGAAGGAAAAATTAGATTTTATTCTTGACACTGTGTATATATAACAACTTGTCCACACTATCTAAATAGCATTAACATTTACAGCTGATGCCGATAGTTCAATGGCCTTGGCAAAGGACCTTAGATTCAAATGTTTCAGATAAAATGCATAAGTTCTCCAAAAAGGAAAAAAGCCGAGTCCACAAAATATCTTGCAGGAAACGTATCACCAGGTGATCCAAAGCCTGTTTAAACCAGTTACCATTACCTCAATAGGTATTTTTGACAACCACTCTGAAGTATTCAGAAATCTTGAGCAAAGTTTAAGACACAACCATGAACTCTTTGGCAGTCACTCAGTGTTACATCTCTTAAAATAAGATGTCTCAAACATTGAAACTCTTTCCAGATATTTAAGCTTGACGTCCAATTCTAATACACATTAATTCAAAATGTGTTGTTCTGTTCCCACCCAAATCCTCCCTCACCCTGCTTTTCTTACATTACTTAGTGCTTTCCCCCTCCCCTTTCCCATCCGGAAATTCAAGACTCGCACTTGAGACAACTTTAATCCTGTGCTTTCAAGAGAGGAGAAAGTCCTCTGATCCCCACACAGTTTTGGGATATAATTGAGAGACTCTTAAACTGTCAACTTTATGCATGCTGCTCATAAATTCAAACATGAAGCCGACACGTCCTACTGAGTAGTTAGACATTGCCCAGGTCATTTAGCACACACAGATAGCATTAATTTGACTGGCTTTCTTCTCTTGGTGGACTACTGCAGCACGCTTTGTGTTTTTGATAAAAAGCACAATTTGTCTGACTTCTCGTTAAATGGAAAATCTAGAGAAAGCTTTAAATAGTAACAAGATGATTTAAACAGGAACCTAACAAAAGTCTCTTTAGGAAAAGGCTGATAACATCTATAAATAGTCAGTGTTGCACTGCGAGATTTAAAATAACCCTTGAAGACAGATTCAAGTTCCAGGTTTTAGACTCGAAATCATGAAGGCACATCTGACACCACAACAGTTAAAACCCAGCAGGAAACTGCATTTACCCCACACCACACAAACAATCCATTTGGAAACACTCTAATCTTTCTAATCTTATTCCTGGGATGGGGAGGGGAATCAGTAGTACACAGGATCAAACACGTGGACTTTTTTTTTTTTGTCTGACAACTTAATTCTGGACACATGCTGTAGAGATCAATCCAAAATTAATTCAGAAGCTCTAGAAAAACATACTTCAGTTTGACTCTGATTTCTACAGCTTGAATAGGTTGGGAGCCTTAGTTTAGTTGAGCGAAAAATGATATAAAATGGCAATTTAAGTATCACCTTGCAAAAAAAGCAGTGCAGTCTAACAATGCAGAGTGTTCTTTACACTGCTGGGCAGGTAAAGTTGCTACAAATCAGTAGCAGCTGTTAAAGAGTGGTAGGTGAGAAAAGGTTCACAAAAAACAAAAAAAATACCGAGGACTTGAATAGTAGAGTGATTTGCAATAAACAGATCTCTTTTTTCCAAAGGAAAGCTGCCGAATATCCCCTCATGCTGTATTATTTACAAAAAAATACAGTCCCTTGAGAAAATTAAATGAAACAGCATGCTGAAACAAGATTTTTGGGGAAGGAATCTTGATGTCATGACAAAATCATTCTTGGATTTCATAAAGACTCTTTTTGAGAGCATCTCTAGAATCTGGTCAAGTAGTCTCTATGGGCATCCCTCCCAAGTACTAACTGAAAGCAGTATTTGGTAAAGTCTCTTTAAAGCCTGTCAGCTGAGGTGTGATCTCCTATTAAAATTATTTAACATGCTACTGGTTTCAGAGAATATTTTGGGCTAGTCAGAAGGATTGTCTTATGATTAGGCACAGGACAGAGTCAGGAGTCCTGGTTCTATTGTCATTTCTGCCACAAACTTCCTGTATGATTCTGTACAGCTCATGGGCCCTTATCTATAAATTAGGCTAATACTTCCTTAGTCTCAGCATCTCTCAGACAAACAACTCACTTGCAAAGCATGCCAGCATCACTAGATGGAAGTAGCACCTACTGAAGTGAGTAATATTTCTGAAATGCAGCCATTTGGTTCCACCCAAACGATAAAATCAAAGCGTATTTTAGATAGCATCCTTTCATTACGTCCCTGTTACAGCACGAATTCAAAGCCCCAGGGAAATGTGAGTTGTGGAACATGCCAGTCAGAAAGGTTACTTCATTCACTACAGACTCCTCTGTACCTGTCTTCCACTTGAAGCTGATTCATACACTGCACAAGGTTCCTGCATGCCATTTGAG